AAAGAAACAACTCAATATAGCTCATAACAAATCTAACAATTACTATCTGTTAAAGATACCAACTCGGGCTTAGCAATATCACAAGTTTCGACTCTAGATTTTAACAAGTTAAAGCTTAGCTGCATATGAGCAGGCAACGGAGCATCGAACTTGAGGCCACCGAGATCCGAAATATCAGAATCTGAAGAAACCTGCAACTTTTCCAAGAGCTGAGAGATGTTTGGCAGATCAATCTGCTTCGAATGGAGATGAAGGTGTGGCTGCTTTGAAGACACATCGCCACCATCCAGATCCAAGCCAAAAAGAGACAATGACGGCTTGGTTGGGGTGTTACTGTTTCCGGATGAGACAAATGGTTCCCGCGCTTTATGAGCTTGCCAACCGTATTTATAGTCTCCGAGTATCGGTGTTCCTAGAACTTCTGCGCAGTGTACACGAAGCTGTCGCAATCGAAGACAGTGGACAAAACATTGTTATAACTCATAAGAGAAGAGAAAACAGAGCAAGAGTTGAAACAAAAAAACTGAAGATTTTTATAGAGACCTGATGTTTTCTCCCGGTTAAAGGACGAAGCTCAAGCCATGTGTATCCTACAAATCAACAATGTGCTACTCAAGGCCAAATCGTTTGATTTAAGTTTTGACTGAAAAGAAAAAAACGAAGTCATTTGTCACACTAACCATGTGGAGAAGATTCAATCACTCGGTATTCAGTGATAGCATGCTGAGTAGAAACGAGTTCTCCATTGTCATTAACCGTGATACGATCAGATTTTCCATCATCCACAACAACCTACTCAGACATTCACACATATGTTAAAGCAGCAAAAGCAATGGACTGAATGTAAACAAACAAATCAAGTCTTAGATCGAACCAAATGGACTAGAACTCAGATTGGTGAAGCTTTCTGACCTTTCTGAGTGGCGCTGAAATCTGTCCACGTTGACGTCTTGGAAACCCGATCACGAGTGCCAAATATTTTCGTTTCAGGGATTTTATGTTCTTTTTTACACCCTAAAGAGATAAAAAAAAAGAAGTCACTCGGAGAGAAGATTTCTCTTGAATCATGACAAGCAAACATCTCAAGTAAGAAACAAGCGTGAGAGTAATGAGAGGATTTTACATATGCGGATGCACCAGATGTTTTCTCGCGGAATAGAGAATGAAGAACTGTTGCAGCCGTTTGTGTTCTTCCCAACACCAAAAGTCCACTACAGTCTCTGTCAAGCCTGTGCACCTAATTATACATACACCATACTTGCATTAGCCAAAAGATTCATACTTTTTCAAATTAACTAGTTTTAACAAAAAATAAAGTCTTAATTAAATCATACTATGATTCTCTACTAACCAGCCGAGGAGATTCTGATTTATCAAAAGTCAAGCAAGTGGCAGCGAGTTCATCGATACTGGTTTTGATCCCAGTCCCACCCTGTTTAAGAGCAAAAAAGTCTAATCATTTCTGTCACAAGCTCTAAGACCATGATCAATTTACAATGCAAGAAAGTATAAATGAACTCACTTGAACAGCCAAGCCATGAGGTTTATTCAAAACGATAATGGCTGGATCCTGGAGCAATATTAACTCACAGTTTAGATCTACCAATCAATATTAACAACATCGCCATGTGTGAAGAGTCTTAAAAACCTTGTACAACACCAAACTACAAACGAATTTGCGCTCTTCTTCACTGCAACGAAAGCTTTCTTTCTTAGCAGGCTGCGGCGGCGCATCGTTGTCTACCGATATAGGAAGGTAAATCCGATCACCTAAGTTTAAGGGTTCCTTTGCTGACACCTTCAATGGTCAGAATCAGAATCAAGAACATCAGATAACAGCAGCTTCTAAAAAAAGGGTTCTTGTTTCAAATCAATAGACGAACATTATTTACCCTTTTAAGTTGGCTTCTTTGTAGCTCATCACCATCACAGCTCAGAGACATTTCTCTTCTAACCTGAATCCATTTACAATGTAAGAAGTTGACAACAACAATACCATTGAGGAGGGATTGGATTCAATTTTGAAATACACTCTTGGCTGATGATGAAGAGAGTAGAGGACCTGTCTTAGACGAAAGAGTTTCTGAACGAGATTCCTAGGTAGATCGGGACGGCAACGAAGAATCCACCTAATCGCCGTCGTTGAGCCATCCGTTGAACCTTTTGCGGAGTCTCTGTCGGAAGATAGCTCCTTTCCGATTGCGGCGGCATCGACGGTGGGAGAAAAAGGAGGTAGAGTTAGCCATTTCCCTCTCGGATCTTCAGGTGTATTGTACCTACGACGCTGATTAGCTGCAGACAAGGCTCCGGTCGGATCCCTGAAGACGGAAGAGATAGTAGGCGATGGTGATCGGAGATGGCGACGGAGCGTCGCGGTCGCAAGTCGCCATTTGGCCATTGTGAGGGTTTAGTCTAAAATTCAAATTAGGGTTTAAGGGGTTGGAAACAGTGTGGAGCTTGGGAGGAAGAGGGAACGGAAATTTGCTTAATTGATTTATTAGTTTTAATTAACTGTTAATTATGATTGGTTTTGAAGTGAATTTTGAAATCCATTTTATTTCCAGAATATTTTTGTGCAGGTTTTGAAATCCATGTCAACGGCTTCGTGTGGTTTTTTTTGTTTGTAAAACAAAAGCTTTTCAAAAAGAAAACAAACAATCACAGAAATGAGAAAGCTATTGCTACACTACACTATGCGACCAAACACAAAATCCTGAACGTATGTTAATTTAATATTTTCTTAAATGATTTGGATTAATTATAAAAATTGTCATGATTGCTATTAAAAAAATTATATAAAAAACTATAAAAATTATGTAAAATTCCAAATAATTTAAATTTTGTCTTTATACAAAATGTAGATAGATAATTAGCTTCTTTCTTTTTTTTTAAAAAAAAAGCTAAATTTGGTATTTTAAAAATTGCGCTTAGATGTTAAAAAGATTTTTAGAGGGTGTTTTGAAAATCGAAAATGATGAATGAAATATTTGAGATAGAGAAAAACATCGTTGAAAGTGTTTGATATATGTTAATTTTCTTATTTTAGCATCAATATGAGGTTTGAATCTAGCTAATTAAAAAAATGACTAAATAAGAGCTATATACAATCTCTTTTTTTGTGTGTTTTATTCTTAATTTATTTTAGTTTATGTCCTTAAATGTTAAAGAGATGACTAAACTTAGCTGGTTAGATGTCATACACCAGCAGATCTGTGTATATTGTAGAGTGAGGCTATGATTTCATTCTTGTGGAAGGTAGAAGTTATTTACCCAAACTCTTTCTCTTACCAATTATAAAACTTATCCAACTCTTTCTCTTACCAATTATAAAACTATAAAGTCGAAGTTATATAAGTGGAACTTGCGAAAAGAGTTCTAAAAAAATCGGAACATGAACCACTCTTCCAGATAACCTTTCCAGATAACCTTTGAAGTAGTCTGGTCTAACTTTATTTTTTATTTTTATTATTTATAACAAAAAACCTAGTATTTTGAGTTTAATATAATTTTAAATGATTTGGATTAATTATGAAAATAGTTATATTTACTATTACAAGTTGTATGAAATTCCAAACAATTTAAACTTTACTCCAAACAAAAATGCAGATAAATAGTTGGCTTCTTTATCTTGATTATGTGTTTAAAGTATCCATTGAACTTTGTACAAAGAGTACACTTACTACATTATTGGTTGAATTCTCATTAGATTTGTAACATCTCTCAATCAAAAACAATTTCTAAGTTTGTCTTCAAACGAAAATGCAAATAGATTGTTGGAGTTTTAAAAAATCTAGGAATCAAGTGTGTTAAATTTTATGATTAAAAGAACACTAAGTACTAAGAATTTATCTGTAGTCTAGTGGTTCTGTTGCTGTATTTCCCCTTTTCCAGCTTGAGTTTGATTCCCCAAATGACTAAATAGTTTTTTTTTTATAAAAAAAAGAACACTAAGTACTGAAATTAGCTCAAAGAAATTTTGGAAAACTCTCATATATTGATCAATTGATTATATCCTCTGCATTTTTATGCATTTTAATTATTGATTTAAAAAAAATTATTGATTTCGTTTTCAAAAATTTGACATATACTTAATATTTCATACTTCGAGAGAATTTGATATCCCCACTCACACTCATGGATATTGGGTGTGATCACGACTCATGAGGATGAGTTATAATTGTGTATTAAACTATGTATAATGGGGATGTTAACAAATTTCAACTGTTGAATTAATATAATGAATGTGTTGAATTTATATTACAATTCATCATTTTGGATACTTTATAAATAAAAACTTATTTCATTTAATTTAGATATATAAAAACATTTAAAAAATAAAATTATGAAATAAAGATAGTGGTGGATGGTGTTGAATTTTATGAAACAAAATTATTGTATAAGTTAAAAAACTGAATGGATGTTGAATTATTTAGTGAAAAAAATAATTTGATTTGGAATGTTAAAATGTAAAAAATAGGATGTTCAAAAGTTGAAACTATTGCACATTAACAAGATCATCGATTCATTAGAACTAGCACAAAGTCCATAAGCGTCTTCTTATCAGATTAATGATCCATCATCTCATTTCTCTTAAGGTCAGTGGAACAAATCTAGGGACACGATTCGTTTCGTTTTCGGTTTGGGTTAGGTTTTCCGATTTTGTTGACTAAACATAATTCAGACAGAACTTTGCATTAGACTGTATTAGTCTTACTAGTTTCGAATTAGAATTTAGTAGATATAAGCAAATACATTTAGAATTCAACTTATGTGGGGTTTAATTACGGTTATTGGGCAAATGAAATAAACAAATAAAACCGGTTTCGATTTGCATCAAAATATGTATTCGGGTCAGCCGGTCACCCAAATTAGACAGTGTTAAAAGTATATTTTGCAAGTGGAAGTGGAGGAAGGAAGATACTAAAGTCTCGTCTTTACTAGCTATTAGTAGATTATGCTAAATGATGCTTGCTTCGATAAACAAACCGACAAGTTCATTAATTGTCATGGCACCAACAGACGTACGCTGATGTGGAGTTGGAGTACACGTTTTGTAGCTCTTGTTGCTTCTTCATCTTGTCGTTCTGTGTGCACGAGTTCAGACCTTGATCCCGAATTTTCTTGTACAGCCTCATCACAGATACACAGTCCTCATAAGGATTGTGCTTCCCGCATTGGATCTCATATCCGAGATACGACCTTGTGAGGTACTTCAATGAGTGGCTAACAAGATTTGTCTTCATCAATGGCTCGTATTTTGCTGTGTCTCTGAGGTGAAGGGAAAGGGATTTCATTGGACAGGCTGGAAATGGAGATTTCAAGCAAGGAATCGAACTGTTTCATGTACCTCCACAAAGCCCTAGGATACTGGAGTTGCAAGCAACGCATATCATGGATGAGGTCATGACCAATAAGAAGATGCCCTCCATCCCCGCGCAAGATTTCCAAAACGCGATCTCGTACATCCTCAAGTCGCATACCTTGCTTCAAATCTTCCTCCGTCAATCCCGTTACAGCCTCTCTGAACATCAGGCGGGTGAGTTATAGTTATTTACAAGAGAGATTGACATGAGAGACAGGCACAAAGTTCAAAAAGAAGAACCTGTAATCGGTAACAGTTTGTTGTGGTTGCACGAGAGTGAAAAGGATCACTTTCTCATCTTGGTCAACCAGGCAAACCGTTGCGCACAGATCAAGAGACCCGTCATCACCACCACCAACCATTTCACAGTCGAGTGCCATTGCTTTCATACGTGTGCCACTAGTGTTTAGACCACGGGCAGGAGAAGCATTGACCTCAGGGAATAGGATATCTGGTTCCTGACGCGAAGCAAGCACGAGTCACATGAGAATGAGAGAATCAAGGACGAAAATTTCATAAATCAGCGAAGAATACCCTCAAAAATATGGTGCAGTTTCCTAATTTAGGGGGCAATGCATAGCCAAGTGCATTCCACATTATCCATTTACTAGATCAGAATTCTCTAAGTAGTCAGTCTGATCCACTAGGGAACATTTCATAAATCAGTAAAGAACCACACAAAACTATGGCGCAGTTATCTAATTTAGGAAGCAATGCATATCCATTTACTGGAACAGAATTCTCTAAGTAGCCCGTCTGTACCAATTTACCGCGATATATAAAAGAGAGTTGCACATAAGATGGTTAACTTACAAAAGGAGGAGGTGGAGACAGGCGACACATTTTTATATGTTCAGCCAGAGCAGTGGCATCCTCAAAGACTTTAAGGCAAAGAGTACAGCCTTGTTTAGCGAAAATTTCACTGCACTTTTCTTTGAATGGTCGAGAGAGACCGTCCGGAACCGTGACTGACATTGTTCAAAATGGTCGAATCAAACACCAATCATACGGAAGAACAGCTAAAAAAAAGGATCATAGAGCCAAGCTATACCGTGAAGGTGTTCCCGAACAGATTCGAACGATCTACAGTGCTTCAAGCAAACCCCACACCGAGGCTGATGAACTGAGTGGTGCCAAAACTTCAGGTGATAAAAAAATTCTCCGGTTGATGATATGTACCTCTTGAAACACGCAGGGCATTTTTTCCTGCAGGGTCGAAATCCCGAAAATCATCACAACAACAACAACAATAAAGAAACAAAATAGATATGTAGAACCATGCGAAGTAATTATTGGCAGTTCTGCGGAGACCGAGTAGTAGTAGTAGCCATGGAAATCAAAGCGAGTCGGTGAATAGGAAACGTAGCCGCGAACAGTTCGCGTAGGGTTTAGTGAGACGACTGAGCAGGAAGGAGGAGGAGAAGGGGTTTTATGACTTTATCTATATCTATATTACAATATTAAACTTTTAAGTTTATAAAATAACAAAATACTCTTTGGAATTAAGAAATAACAATAAAACCCAGTTTAAAAATTCCGAGAGAACAACAACATCAAAACCATATGAAACTAATTAAAAATCGAGGGCTAAACCGGTGATTTTTTGGTTACCGATAGTCGTCGTTTTACAACCCAAATTTTCAGATTTTGGTAAGAGTTGGGTGCTTCGGGAATCGGGATGCCTCTTTTGATCCATACGATTCTGTGGCAACAAACAGTAGGTTTGATATCCCCTGAGCAGAAGCATAACTTGTTTTGTCCCTTGATGATCCAGGACCAGTAAGAGTTAACTGATTCAGGCAGAGACAGTGACACCATAGTCAAACGTGTTTGATCTTGCTGGAGGGAGGTACCAGTTGCCAATTGCCATTTCGGCAAACAGATGAAACCGTTGAATTGAGAGGGATTCCATACTTTCTAGATCCCTGAGAGCCTTAAGTAGTTGATCAGAGCCCCAAATTTTGTCCATTCCCAGGTATGATTCTCAGCCATTTACAAGCGTGTTGCTTTAGCTTGAGTAATTTGTTCGAAAATCCATGTATGAGACCGAGTAGGCTTTAATTTTTCAGAAAAGCTTCCATCTTTGATCCAAACCGAATCTGTTTTTTTTTTTAAAAAAAAAAAAAAAAAATAAGCGGTAACTGTCTCTCCCATGAGATGTTTGCAGAATGATTAACCTCTAATGTTCCTTTCCAAAGATAGGCACAACACATAGAGTTGGACATGTGTTTTGCGGCTCACAATTTCCCATCGTTAATTTTGTTGGTTTGCAGAGAGGCAATCCTAGGTACCTGATAGGGAGCTCACCCTTTGGAGATTCCTGAACTGACCCCTGATTTCACTTGAGGCGAGGCCTGATGGAAAGAAGCAGGATTTCCCCTCACTAATCGCAAGCCCTGTCATTTTCTTGACTGAAAGGATTCCTTGGAAGGAGGCAGGAGAGCCATCTGAGAAGATGAGGAGGTCGTTTGCAAAGCACAGATGAGTAAGTTTCGAAGCTTTGCACTTTTGATGATATCCAAGTCGTCCTTCTTCAGCTAACTAGGTTGAGTTTTTTGGAAAGGATGTCCATGGCCACACCGAAAAGAGGAGACAAGGGTTCTCCATGTCTGCTACCCCTGAAACACCCGTGTATTTATACCAACTGAGTAGGAACTAGTGGTGGGTGGTGAAGCATTCTTTGAGCCACTTATGAATGGAGAAGGTAGGTTCAGGACATATAGGCAATGATAGATGATAGATGAAGTCCCATCCCATCTTATAGAGTCAAATGCTTTTGCAATGTATACCTTGATTGTTTGTCTCTGACTGGTTACCTTTGTTTCTGTGGTTGCCAATGCCATCAACGATCTCAGATGCAAGTACAAGTCTTCCTTTTATGTAGACAGTCTGGTTGGGAAGAATTATTCTTGGGACAAGGGTCTTGATTTTAGCGACTAAGCAGCTTAGAGATAGCAGTAGCTCCTGCGAATTTGGGGATGAGGGTGAGTATAGTGGAGTCTGTAGCTTGTGGCACGGAAGGTCTAGAGAAGAAAATTTTGAATGGAAAACACCACTTTTTCCCCCAGCTGTATTACCATCCGGTCCTGGAGATTTGTTTTGGTTTAAGCTGAAAATCACTTTTCTGATTTCCGTCTGCAGAGGGAATCCTGGAGAGAGAAGAGGCTTCGTCTGTATGAGAGGAGGTCAGAGATGGGTGGTTTCTCATCAGAATCACAGGTCCCAGAATACTTTTGAAGTAGACGGCTCATATCTGCTGGAGATGAAGCCACTGTACCATCTGGAGAATTGTAACCTTGTGAATGACCAACCAATTTATTCTCGATTCCTCCACATCAACAAGTCTGATTAAGCGGTAGTTGTTTCTACACTAATCTCAGTTACGTCAAAATATTATTAGAATTGGATAAATTGAATATTGAGTTGTAACAATGGAACTCTGTTTAATTCAGGAGTTATGGTGATCGAGCCTTGCAACTGTACGTTTCGGCTTCTTATGGAGCATATAAACGAGATTGAGTCCTACAACGGTGGAGATCAAGGTTACTTGAACGAAGCTTTCACATGGGGGCATCGGATTCCGAAACATATAAATTTCTTGAAGCATGGATGAAGATGACGTGAGACGCAAGAAAACAGAGCTGTTTGGGGCAGAGCCTCCGATTCTTTATGTTCTTCATTACTTGGGAATGAAGCCGTGGCTATGTTACCGTGACTAGGACTGTAACTTTAGCTCCGACATATTTGTTGAGTTTGCGACAGAAGTTGCTCGCCGACGATGGTCGATTTCACGAGGCCATGCGACAGGTATGATACATCACACGACGTGGTTCATGTAACCTTTCTGGAGGATGCTGGACCGCTCGACGAAGCATTACAGTTACACGGAGTTTTGCAGGTGTTTAACTCATACGTCGGCCTCTTGATCAATGCATTGCCCGGTTCAGCTGAGAACGAAGATAATCCAGTTCACAGAATGGTTAAAGTACCTGAAACTGAGTCTCAACAAACGGCGTTGTTAGTCAATGCACTTCTTTTTCCTCGGATAGACAGAACCGACCCGAGCAAAGAGATTTGGAAGAGAAAGCTTCAATGATCTCTGGATCGGTTAAGAGATAGATAGCTTCTGCAGACAGCATGCTCTCCAACTCATCTTCGCTGGAGAAGGAGAAGTTCGTCTCAGCTCTGAGATTTATATTCTCATGGACGAAACCAGTGAAGAGCCCGAATGGTTTCCTTCCCCGATTTTCCAGGTTAAAAACACATCTTCCAGGAAAAATTGGAACATAAAATGGAGATAAACCTAAATGCTCTGCTTTCTTTCAAGAACTGTTTGCGAAATTGACGAGAATAGCGAGCGCTATGCTCGTTAGAAGAGAGAGATTCGCGACGATATTGCTGATGAGACTTACAGGAGACGGTGATTCTTTGAATCTCTCATGATCAGAGTTTCTGGGAAGAGATGGAGACAAGAGCTAAACCATTGGGTCCACTTGGTCTTCAACAGTTTTATTTAGACATGGAGTTTGTGATGTGATATTGTCCTCACAGGGAAGGTACTTGTAGAGAAACCTTCATCAAGTGATCAAGAACATTACAGCTCGAGCCTCGAGCCATCGAAGCAGTTTCAGCCACTGGACTCGATCCTTATAGGCAAGTATTATACGCTATAACATAAACATCTATGTAAAGATTGGTTGATGATTTATAGATGATGATTAAACAGGACGTTGCCGGAGGAAGAGTGGTTTGCGGAAGTATAGCTCAGATAACGAAAAAGATGTTGACCGGAAAAGCCAATTTCGATCGATGGCCACGGTGAGCGTGACGTCGCTATCCCCTCTGTTTCCCCTACTAAATCTTACACCAGTAATTGACTAAACTGATAATTTCAACATTTAATCAACGCTATTGACTTAGAATTACACTTTATGCAAAAGTTGATGGTATTGTTGTTATCGCCGCTTGAATTTGCACAAAATATTTGCTTCTTTACGTTATGGGTACTAAATTACTTGTATTACAAGTAACATAGCTAGGGCAAAGCTTCACCTCGTAGGTCTGTCTCCAGTGCTTTTGTAACAGAAAACAAAAACAAAATCGTTTCATATGATAATACACAAACCCAACAAACACTCAGATGAGATTATATCAACCCCAAATAGCTTGAAATCAGAGAGACAAGTAACTGCTGAATCTGGTCCCATTCCCGGATATCATGTAATCAATCTGCACGAGACAATAAAGTTGTTGTAAAAAGATAAAGACTGCAAGAAACATCAGCTAAATGCACCATGCACATCAAAGAGTAGAGAAGAGATAAACCTGCCAAAGTTCTCAGACTAAAAGCATCTATAAGAGGGTGAGGTTAAGCGACAGATAGGGCAATCTTCATGCTTCCTGTGCCACTCCAGAATGCAAGCTCTGTGAAAACTATGCCCACACTGTATCTTCCTGCAATTTTTTTGATTATGAAAGCTACCTAGACAAATTCCACAGTCCACTCCCCCCTCCTTCTCTTTCTTCTCCTTCTCTTTCTCGTCTTCCTCCTCCAGCCCATTCAGTCCCATCTGTGACAGACGTCTCTGGAAAACCACTCCAATTTGGATGTTTACATTGTAAAACTCACCCTTTTTAACAACTTGTGCAGCCTTGGAACGAATCATGTCAGAGAGTCTTCGTAGAACCCATGAGTTTACTTTCAGCACATCCTTTCTCAAAATCGACCCTAGATCCCGATGTGGTGACACAAAAAACTTCATATCGACTACACGATAGGTAAGGGCGTACGTTTTAATGACCTCGTGTCCGCTGGGTGTCACAGAAACCACCTCTCTGCTTTTCTTATATCTGAGATTGACGGTGGTTCTTCGAGCGTCATAGGGCTTCACTACTTCGGCGCTAACATTGCAATCCAAGTGGGCTAATACCATCGAGGACGGAAGAGGAATGAAAGCTGCCATGTCAATCAAACGAGAGCTCAGACCGGACCGTTCGTCATGCCACGACACTAACTTGACAAACTCTTTGTTCAAGGCCAACCCTGCCGTGGCATCAAAGATGCTCGACCTGGTGTCACCCATAATGTCACGAGACACAAGATCATCTTCGGTATATCCCAGAATGCCCTTCATCTTGCCTTCGGACTCTTCCCTGGATTTTTTTTGACCAAACAATCATCTAACTAAAAAATAGAAAATCGCGTCATCTTATAACAGTGTGTGAAAGGATTTGTACTTGATGGCCAATTTGATTTCGTCGTATGTTGCTGCTTTATGAAGTTTAACCGTGAGATCCAAAGCTGTTCCACCACTTGTTGGAACAAAGAAAGATGTTCCTGCCAATTTTCCCTTGAGTGATGGTATCAGTTTTCCAACCGCCTAGTGAAAATGAAACAAGAGTTAGCATAATGTATTATTAAAGAATAATAAAAAAAAAAAACCAACATGCATGTTTATGAAATAAAATTTGACCAACATGAATGTTAATGAAATAAAAATTTACCTCCGCAGCACATGTTTCGAGAGGAAGAGGAATAATGTTCATGTAAAAGGGTCTTCCACCTCTAAGGCCTGTCACTGAGGGATCACCAAGAGTTTTTTGAGTACCTGAATCACCCAAACAAAGAAACAAGCGATCCTTATAAAAGGCATAGTTCAGGAAAAAGAGGCAACAAGAATCATCTTAATAAATATATGTGTGTACCATTGGCAGATCTGACGGCAGTCACGAATCCCTCAACAATTCCAAACCTGTCGTTGATAACCTGTAATGAAGAGATTACAAAATCAAATACAGCGAGGCACGATTTGACTTTGAGATTCAAGTCGTCATGAACACATTTCATAATTTTACGGGATGAAAAAAGAGACCTTGGCAAGTGGAGCAAGGCAGTTAGAGGTGCTATTAGCGCAGCAAAGAATGTCAATGTCAGACTTGTATTGATGCTCATTCACACCAAAAACAAACATGGGTGCATCTTCGGTTGGGGCAGCGATGATCACTTTCATGGAACATCCCTAAACCATATAAAGATGTATAAAACTTATAAACAAAAGCTCTCTACGAAGTCAAACTTGTAGTCCTCATATGTAAATAAATAGCCAGACCAAATTATATATACATACATAGGAATGATGTACAAGCAAACATGTTTTTGAAACAAGAATCATATAAGCAAACCTTCAAGTGAAGAGCAGCCTCTTTCTTGGAAGTGGAAAAGCAATCCACAACAACGTCAACCCCATCAGCGTGAAGTCCACTAGAATCCCATGAGATAAGATCTGGTTCTCTTGAGAGACGTAAAATACCACCCCGAAAAGAAAACCATTTCATAAGTAGTATCAAGAGAGATATACAGATTTTGAATAAAATCCAACAGAGTTTATGTACCTGTGATTTGTAATATGGACTCGCTCCAGACCGAATACAATTAAGCTCATGCCGTATATAGAACGACTTCTAAGACTCCCATTCCACGGACCATGAACACTATCATATTTGAATTTATAAATCTGCAAAACCCAAACACATATTCCTGAAATAGTTATAGAGATCTGTGAAACAAGTTATCAAAAAGAATAACGAAAGAAGAAACGAACCATTTCCTCAATGGACTTGCACGGCTCGTTAATTGCGACAAGCTTGACGTCGTTCCTCTCAAGGATAGCTCTAGCCACAGAACGACCGGTTTTTCCGAAGCCTTATAACGTTTAAAGAAGATCAGATTCCCACATAAACGAGAACCAGCAAAGACACGCGTAAAAGAAAACGAAGGGTGCTCACCGTTGATTCCGATCTTAATCGGCTTCTTCTTCTCCGCTACAAAAACAGAGACGAAGAGGAATCAAAAACACGAAGGGATTAAAAAGCATCAGCTAAGAAATGAGCGATCGAAGAAACACACCCATTTCCGAGTACTCGTTTGTTTATGTTCTTCCCAAATTAGACAGTTTAGGCCAAACGTTTAGTCGTATTCTTCTGCTTCTTCTCGCATTCTGATCTCTGTTAGTGGAAATTTGTCGCAGAAAAGAGGGAAATCCTGTGAGAGAGGCTTTGGGAGAAACAGCTACAACAGAGAGATGGAATCACTATCGGCGACGGGGAGAGATGACCGGAGAAAACTACGGGAGATGGGAAAGAGTCCGACGCGGCCGGAGATTGAGGAATTCCTCTAGTGGGAGCTAGAGAATGACGATGAGAAGAAGCGATTCATAGAGAGAGAGGTGAGTATCCTTTCGTCATCAATTTCTGCTTCCTTTAAATTTCGTCGTCTTGCGTGTGTGTGTGCTTTTTGGTTTTGGGAAAACTTTTAAAGTCCGTTCGTACGTAAGGAAGGAAGCATGTCTGCGCAGGATAAGAGATGATCCGACGCGTAGTTTAGCAAAATATCATGAGAGAGAATCAGAATCCTAACGAACACTTTTTGACACAGGTACAACGTAACTTCGATTTAAGGTCGGTACAAGTGGGATCGACTAACGCCATGAAAGGAAATAGCATATGGATGGAGGAAAAGAAATATAGGTTTTTCTTTTCTTTTTAACATTCCACTTGTACTTGTAGTACAGTTCTCGCTTTTTTTTTCCTAATATATTTAAACATGATTTTCTTATAATTAAAAAGTTCATATGGGTTTTGATTTCGTGGGTTTCTCATGTTCCTATTTTAAATAAAGTGAGATTATACAAAAATGGTTTTGGCAAATTCTTGACAGGCTCAGGTTTTAATTGCATGAATATGGAAACGTGCATGGTTCTCGTTTGAATTCTTAAGATTGGATGCTGCTGCTTATTACAATTATTTTTTTGTTGTTCACCGCTTATTACAATTGTTTATCTCAACATTTGTATTCCGAAAATGGTTCATTAATATGTTGATTAAACCGGTAACGTCTCTTGTCCTTATTCTTACATTTTCCCAATAAAACAAGTAAACATTATTTAAATATCTGAAGCCTGAATTTAATCTTTAAATAAGAAAATGGGAGAAAAGAGGAAATGCACCATGACATGACGGTACAGTTGGTATGTAGTATGTACTTCTTTAAAAAATTCGACATCTTCTCGCTAATATTCTGCTTTTTTATTTCCGGATATTTTCCTGTTTTTGTTTTTTATTGGATCGGTTCCTCGCCTCGTAACCGTGGGTCCACAGCTAAGAAAATCATTTTTTTTTTGCTTTTATTAGATAAGAGTCATAAGACCAAAAAAACAGCCGAAGTGGAGTATATTGTTTTCCAAATCAAGTTTTACCGTAATCAAATGACTGATTTTCATGTAAAACAATTGTATATATGATAGTTATAGTATAAGTTTGTTGGTATTGGACATTAAGATAATGCGCATGATGATCAAATGATTGCGAATGAAATATTTAACGTGTGTAAAAATACAGAAATAGGGAAGCAAATCGGAGGGAGTAGGAAAGGTAAATCTCATCATTGCATGATTTCGGTTAGGATGCTTTTTTCCATTTCTTTCGTACTGATACAGCAGACAAAGGCGCGTGGCAGCACGTGCCTATGTCCCAACAATTTCATCTAATTCGACGAGAAACAAATTAATGTTAAAACGATAGAGAGAGAGATTTTAAATGATAAGATTTTGGGATAGAGAGGTTAAAATATTACTCCTTTCATTGTAGAATGTATGATGTTTTAGATGTTTCACAGATATTAAGAAAACAATGATTATTTACTTTTTTAAAGTATTTTTTGTTTGTTTATTAATTTAATACTAATTTTTTATATTTTTTTATTCAAAAAATTGTTTTAGAAACAAAAATATATTAAATATAAGGTAGAAAATCAATCTTTGTGAAACAAAATAAAAACTCAAAACATCATACAATATGGAACGGAGAGAGTAAAAGACAATCTTTAGAGGTAAATAAATCAAGGTAATATTCTCCAAAAAATCAGTCCACATGGATTTGTGAAACTTTTTACAGAAATTGTAGAGAATAGCTTTAGTTAATATCGAATTTAGCTCTTCGTTTCTGACACCTTTTCATCATATCTGTTCACAATACAAAGACTCTTGTACCCCTATAATTTACTGTATCTTAGATATATAGACCCCACATTTACATCTTTGCAGCCCGACAAGATAATCTTTGGTGATGGTCGGTGGTGGTGATGACGTTGTCGTTGGTGACAATGATAAAGTTGTCGGTGGTGGCGGCGGCGGTGGTGGTGGTGATGGTTGTGGTGTTAGTGATGGCGAGTCGGTAGTGATGGAAGTGATGGCGATACCGGCGGTGGTGGTGGTGTCGGATGGCGATGGTGGTTACAGTGTTGGTGGTGGTGGTGGGTATAAGTGGTGGTGATGGTGATGAGGTGAAAGATGATATCAATGTTAACACGATAGTTATTATACTCACAACATTAATATGATAAGTTTTTCATATGATAACATTGTTAACATGATAATTTTGCACAACTTATACGGTTAACAAAGTTAACTTATATTTTTCATGAAATAATAGCATCGTTAACACGATAGTTATTATGTTAACTTGATATTTTGTACATTGTACTAATCGAACAAAGTTAACTCCTATTTTTCATGAAATAATAGCAACATTAATTCGATAGTTATCATGTTAACTTGATATTTGTACAATATGCTAATCGAGCATCATATTAGTTAGCATAGTAACACAATTATCATGATATCATATTAATTAGCATGATAATTTAATTGTTATCTATCAAAGCCGCATCAAATAATTATAAGGGTAAAATAATTATAACTTTTATGTATAATATGTATCGTTTGATTATTAATTTCATTTTCCTAATTTTGCTATTATCTAAGTCCATATTTACTAAATTTTCCCAACTTTTTATTACAAAGTGTAACCGGTCAGCAAAATATACTCCCAAGTTACTTGATTTGGTAGAAGAAGTTTAACCGTTCCGGAATTACCAAAAGTTATCCAGTTTTGGTTTGAAGATGCTGAGTTTCTTTTTTAACCAAACCAAAATTCATAATAACCAAGATCAAACCCAGATTTGGTTTAAAATACTGAACCGAGGTTTGGCAAAAGCTTGTTTGGTTTCCATCCAAAGCCAAAATTTAACAAAATGTTTCTCAATAGCCATGAGAACCAGCGTTGTTATCGCACTAAACCCGGTTCTCTTCGCACCTTTTGATCGCCAGGTCTAACCATTGGACCGAATCTTAAAATTCTGATTGCTAATCCGCAACCAATAGTATAACTTTGACAAGTCACGTATATTTTGTGATACATCACTCTACTGAACTATAAGAACAGAGCTTATAAAATTGATACATGACTACTGACTGAACTAAATAACTAGAGGGATAATATTTTGATGCTTTGAGGTTTGGTGTTACTAATCAGTGCCGGTCCATTCCTTCCAGTCCTTGCCTACATGATCCTGAGCCCATTTAATAGCTGCTCGTGCGGCTCCAGGTAGTATCTGCCATGTCGATGAAGGGTATGACCAATAGTGTTCCAGGTCCGAAGATCTGTCAAGATTCAAGAATCACGATGGTACAAACCGAAAGCTGTTTAAACTAGAAACCATCACCCATTAATTTACCCTTCAGGTTCTACCAGTAAGTAGGCCACCCAAGAATTACTTAAAACGACAACTTTGCTTTCCTTTTTGTTAGGGGCATCCAAAGTTGAAAACACATAAGATGCTCACTCATGAAACGCTCGTTGGTTGTGGTTTTGCATAAAGACTAAGCATAGAAATGTATTGAAAAGAGATGCTCACTAATGATGATCCTCTGGTTTCAAGTTCTGTATAAGGGTGATCACCTGGTAAAGCATGTGGAAGGGGAGAGTCTAACCTTTTGGTGCTTGCTCTGATACTGGTTCTGGAAACTCGTAGCGCGAGATATTATTAGAGAAAGGCCAAGCTCTAGACCAACATACTCGTCGTCAGGAGTGTTGTCTCCATAGAAACACTTAGTCCGTTTATCAAGCCCACCAATCAAATTCTTGGTCCCACCAGAATCCTTATACCCCATCTCCTTCATCCAGCGGCTTGACAATATTAGCTTCTCCTGATTTCAACCTCACAGTCATAGCCACAATTCATACAAAACGCAATCCAGAACAAATAGATTGTATCTTGTAACAACTCGGTGGTAGCATGAGCATCCATACCTGAGCACAACTTCCTTGATTTTATTCGAACACAACAACTGTTTTGTTTAAAACAACTAATTGTAATGAGGCTGGCTGATGTATAGCTTTCTCAAGGCCTATTCCTCGTGCTTTGATGCCGACTTCTTAATAAGTGCACTAGTATATTCCAAAACACATTTTTAAGAAAATGTAATCGCCGCATCAAAGAAAAAAAAAAACTATGAGACTTAAAGAATTAAACAGTGACAGAAACCATCAAAACAACACAACCTTCCATGCCATGAACTGTCAATGCAAACACAATAAAGGAGGAACCTAACTTCAACTTCTAAAACTATCTATATGCTTTTACTCAAACACAATTTCAAGCACCTATCTGAAACAACAACGAACGGCCAAAATCAATCCTTGAATTTCTGGAAGCAGGAGAGAGTTATCAATACCGTCCAAATTATGGTTTTATTCAACCGCCGGGGAAGGACGTGAATGCAATAGGCAACATCTGCTTGAGCACGGTCGACTGCTGTTGCAACGAAGATTTCTGCAAAAGTGATCTGTACATACAATAGAGAAATCATTTCAAAAAGCAACAGTAAAACCAGAGCTAAGATTCCCATAACACAGAAAATGAAGAAGTAATCATTGACTTCTGAGATGTCGACCTTTGGGAGGACACTCCACATGATATATAGCTTTGGCAATGGCAACATCTATATCCTAAATGCATGCAAATTATGGAAACCAAAACCGAATCTATTCAAAGATATTTTCATGAGGATTAAACGTATAAACAACAACAATCACTAAAAAAAAAATTGATGTACCTTCACATTAATGGATCACTGGTTTATGTAAACATATGTATTCGGTGAAAACATCAATTTAAAAACTCAACACAAAGATAAAACCGACGTTTCTTGTATTACAGTTCCTTAAAATTTTAAGATAAAAAGTTGAAAGTACAAGGACAAGATCGAGCAAATAAATCTAAATTCGGTGGCAGAGGAACAGTTCCTTAAAACAAGATTGGAACACGAACCTTGAAACAAGAGATTATATCTCTCCTCTGTATCCACCAGAGCCAAAATAGTCTTTTCTAGAATTAGATATGGCCACACTCTTCTGGTGCTCGAGTTTTGGGCAGTCTCCAATACGATGTCCGAGACCGCCACAATAAGCACAACCCTTGACACCACTTGCATGAGCAACGGTCTCTGCTTCTTCCATTGGATCATCCAGCTCAGCAAGTACAGGCGGAATCCTCTGTTTAGCTTCCTGCAACAAGTGCTTCAAATCGAGCAGCGTGGTCTCGCTTTGGTTCTTGTTTATAAACGTAGTTGCTATCCCAGTTTTCCCACACCGGCCTGTTCGTCCTATCCTGTGCACATAGTTCTCAATCTCCGCAGGCATGTCGTAGTTGATCACGTGCTGTATATCAGGGAAATCTAAACCCTTTGAAGCAACATCTGTCGCCACCAAGACGTCTTTTTTCCCAGCCTTGAAGGAATAGACTGCGTACTCTCTGTCTTCTTGATCTTTGCCTCCATGGATGGCCACTGCTTCCACTCCTTTGAGTAGCAAGTACTCGTGGATATCATCAACATCAGATTTGCTTTCACAGAAAATTAAAACCTGCGGAGAGGTTTTCTGCAGGCACTCGAGGAGGTAAACAACCTTTGCCTCTTGTTTGACGTACTCAACCTCCTGGATGACATCGAGGTTCGCAGCTCCAGCTCTTCCCACGTTAACAGTCACAGGTTTCACCAGAGCACTTGTGGCAAAGGCTTGGATTTTCGCAGGCATCGTGGCGGAGAACAGAAGCGTCTGACGCTGAGACTTAAAGTGGTCGAACACTTCTCTAATGTCGTCTTCGAAACCCAAATCAACCAACCTATCTGCTTCGTCCAGTGTCAGGTACCTGCAAGCATCTAAGTTCATCCTTTTCTTGGCGAGCAAGTCCTTCAACCTCCCAGGGGTTGCAACAACGATGTGGACGCCTCTCCTCACAACCTCCAGCTGCGATCTCATATCCACTCCTCCGATGCATAGCAGCGACCTCAGCGGCGGGAATCCAGCCGCAGCTAAAGGAGCAACGAACTGTTCAACCACGTCATAAGTCTGCCTAGCAAGCTCTCTAGAGGGACAAAGGATAAGCGCAACGGGGCCTTCTCCAGGAGCGATAGGCAACATCACCTCTTCCTGCAGAGCCATCATGATCATGGGAGCACGAAAGCCAAAGTCTTTCCCGAACCCGTGAAGGCAATGCCAATCATATCTCTCCCCGACAAGATCACAGGAAGACCCTGAACCTGGATTGGCGTCGGCTGCACGATTCCCTTCTCCCTGAGCGTATCGAGAACAGCTCTCGGAAACTTCATATCGTTGAAGTGCTTGATCGGAGGAGGAATATCTTCACCATTGACTATGATATGCCACTGCTTCCTAATCAAATCCATCTGTTTGCTCGACATCTTCCTGATACGCAAAGGCGGTTTCCACCCTGTAAGCAGAGGCTCTGTGTAAGTGATACCTTTGGCCAATTCGCGAACAGACATAAGCGTCTTCTTGGCGGATAATTGCTCCATCATCTCCTTCTCCTCTGATACAATTTGCTCCGTAGCACTCACTTCGGGTAGATTTCGCCTGAGATGAGTTGCTTGAACCAGCAAGCTTGGCCTATCTTCAGCCGGCGTTACCTGCAACTCCGACACCTTTCCCTTCACACGAAGCATCTTCTTATATTCCATCTCTCTGCGCAGCGCCACTGGAACATACGGCACGAATCCATCATCAACCTCCATGATTCAATCAATCCAACTGAAAACCCTATCGAATCAAGCCTCAAATCTCCCTGGCAAACAACCTCAGATCTCTCTCGCAAACAAAAACAATTTTAGGTTTGTTCGCAATACTCTCCGATATATATATATATATATATATATAGTCGGCAATAAATAAGGAAACTGAAATAATATTATGATTAGAAGAAAAAGGTAAACTTAATTCATCTAAAAGATAAATGAAAAATGGAAAAAGAAAAGGACCTTAAAATTCATCTAAACTTAATTCATCTCAAATTCGTCGATTTGATTTTGATCTCTCTCTCAGTATCTTTAATTAGCAATAAATTGAAATAACCTATGTTACATACTCTCCCCCTAAAATTTTATGTATTAATAACCGTCTTGCATATTACATTATATAATCATAAAAAAATCTCGTGTCACAGCTTACATTGGTGTGTTTCATAGGAACTCCACTTGCTTCCATAGCACGAAAGACGAATAATGGTTCAAACTGTGAATTGGCCGGTTTAAAATTGTGTCTGGGTCATCAGGCTTTACCGGTTCAATTGCAAGCGGAGTTTTGTTTTTGTTTTCTCAATAAGTAAATATTTGGGTTCGTATTACAAATAACAATTCAAAGCTTGAGAGACGACTATACAAAAGAGTGATATACCAAAACCCTAAATAATAATCAAAGCTTGAGAGATCACAATGAAGATCTCGGACCTTCCAGGAGATACTCGGTCGTATGCCGTCCATATCTCTGATCTATTTGCAAACGTTGGAACCGTTTATTCAAAGATGTGGGATTCGCAAGAAAGCATTTCGATAAAGAAGCAAAACAATCTTGGGTTTTCAGACCAACCCCAATGGTGACACTAAGGAGTCTAATGAAGAGTGTCTAATATTATAAGAAGTAAAAAAATTATAAAAAGTGTCTAATATATAAGACAAGTGTCTAATATAGAATCTATTTTTTGGTTTAAGAACGGACAAGTGTTAACATGTGAGTGGATGAAAAAATTAACACACAAAATCTTTTTTTTTTGTCTCTCTCTAATTGCAATAAGTAAGCATGAGATTTTAAACCAAACCGAACTAACCGAATCGAATTTTTTGGTTTTTGATTCTGGTTCGGTTATTGAAGAAAAACTGATCGGACAGATTTTAAATCTCGTTCAGGTATCGGTTCGGTTCGGTTTGCTGAACCGAATAGTTACCCAATTTTTTTTAAAAAAAAAAACCAAATTATACCAAAATATACCAAATTGTACCAAATTATATCGAATTGAATATCCGAACTATCCGAAAATATCTGAAATTATCCTAAAATACCTGAAATAACCCGAATCTACCCGAAATTAACCGAATTTAACCTAATTTAAACAAAAGAATTAGTTTGGATAGTTTCAGATAAAAAAAATAATATATGAACCGAACCGAACGAATTATTTCGGTTATTTTTGGTAGAATTTCAGTAATCCAAACTATCCAAATTATCCGATCTAAATTATCCGAAGTATTTGAAGTCCCAGGCTTAGCAACAGGCATTGGAATTCTAAAGGAGAAGGCTTCTCACCAAGTACTGAATTGCATTTCTATAATTTATATGTTTCTATGTATTACCTTTGTAAAATTATATTATGATTTAAAATTTGTTAAAATAAGTTTTTACATAAATTTATTAAAAAAAATTATACACCCATCAAAATATCTCCATTGTATGCTTAAAAACAACATAATCCTACAAAGTGTCTTATATACATAAAATACACAAAATATTAATAATTAATCATTAAGATCCCTTCTAGTGGTGTTACCATTGAAATTACTCTCATGGTGACGCAGGACTTTAGGATTTGTTTGATGAGCATCAATCTCCATGAAACTCCATATGTAGCGTTTAAAGGTAATCTTACCAGCTAGATTCGCATTCTAACTCAATCAAGTCATAATATCTCAAGTCTTTCACTGCGACGGGTTATTGTTATGCACCATGCAAAGAGACGTTAGAATCGTGCTTTGGAACCCGTGTACTGGTCAGACCAGGTGGATCAAACCAAGAAAACATTCCAAGATAGACGACACCTATGCTCTCGGTTCTTACCAAGACAGTAAATCCGGCAATAATAACTACAAAATATTGTGCTATGGGGGTCACACTTATGGCTACGACCATGAATCCGCAATCTACGAGGTTAGTTCTAATTCTTGGAGGAGTCTTGATGTAAATAGCAAGTTTGGTAAATTAAAATCTGAGTAAAAGATGGAAATAAGTTTGGTAATAGGCTATGTCTTGGGAAGGGAAACTCAAGCCTTCAGCGTAAAAGTAAATCATAGCAAACACAAAAAAAGATAGCTTTTAAATATATATAGTTTCTCCATTCAGTAGCATTTGTCAAATTATTTAACAGAAGCCTCCATTAATCATCTAAATTAGAGGATCATATACCCATGTTAGAAAACAAAGCACCTTTTCCCCTCACTACACCAAAGCGTAATCTTTAGTGATATAATCTGAGAAAATGAACCTTCGAGAGGAAGTTTCCATCTCACCACAAGGAAGCAGATTTGGATCGTCAAAGATTTAGAAATCTTACTTTGTCAATAATTTAGTTATTAAACAGATTTCTTACAAAACATAGACGATAACAAGTAAAAACATAGTAAAATAACCAAAATATCGACTGTTACATCATCAAATTTTAAACCTTATTGATTTTCTACGGACAATTATTTGTTTCACTTTAAGTACACTCCAGAAAAAAGTGCTATTACATCAAAGTCGTATGCAGATTACTTCATAACAAAATGATTCTCATAAAGATGAAACAATACATAAAAATTAAACAATAAATGTGATAACGATATCACGATCGCTTTCTAAGATTAGTGTGAAAGTTAAACAATAAATGTCATAAACTCAAAACTTAATTTCAGTTTGGTTCAAGGTTGACCAACACTTTATAAATTTCGAGTATAGTTAGTTGTACTACTGATTTGAATTGTGTCCTTTTTTTGTAGTTTCGGGATTGTATTTAAGTATAATCAATGTTGAGAATAGGATCAACGCGGTGAAAATCATCTAGCACTTAAAAAGTGTGTTATATTTTAAGTACAAAATAATGTATGTGTGTTGACATAAAGAAAAACTGAAAGATGTATAAATTCAAAGTCCATAAGTATGAGCAATATTTAAATTATAAGAGTATTTATCTATTCGATCTTACAATTTCAAATGTCCAAGAATATGCATTTAGTTAAGCGGCGTTGTATATAGCAGAGAGCACATAAGATTAAATAATAGACTTTAGACCTATAGTCGGTGCCTCCTTGAGTCACATAGTCGAAAGTATGCATGCATGCAAGTGAATTGCATATAAAGCTTTCTTAAAAACAAACTCTCGATAGTTTTATATATTTTAATAAAATGTTAACGCTAACAGAGAAAGGTATTTCTATTTTTCTTCATATAGAAGACAAAGTAGAAAAATGAAAACATTGCTGTAAAGGTGTTGTCATGGCTTATCATTGTTGGCTTCATCATGTGAGCCCCCCAAAAGTCAAAGGTTCTTCATCATGTCCTTCGTCTCTTTACCAATAATTAACTAACGTTTAATATCCTATTTACATCTTACTAATAAAACTTCTTATGTTATATTGTGAAAGTTTTAACCCTAATTTAATAACTTTTTTGCGATCAATAACAAACCTAAAGCACGCATATATCTATTGGTAATGTGTTAATATAATGCTCTTTCGTTATGCATAAAGTATTAATATCTATTAAATTATAAAAACCAAATGGTTATTTGTTAAATTACGTAACTACTCTAAGAAGGTATTAAGCATCTAATATTCCATAGTTATATGAACCTTATTTAAAAGATTATTAAAAATACCCCAACTTGATATTAAAAAAACCCTCCATATGGACCATATCTATCTATATAAACCATATGTCACAGCACTTGAACCACATCATAACCATCGAATCCTAAAGCACACAACGACTGAAAAAAGAAACACTCTTTTATTAAATTTGTTAGGTTTGGCAATGGATCTAGCCAAACACACAAGACTTCAAATATTGGGATGCATACTCCTTGCATCACTTGCTCTAACAATGGCCCAAACACCACCGGGCATAGCCAATAACCCAAGCCATGCAACATGTAAGATCAAGAAGTACAAACATTGCTACAACTTGGAACATGTTTGCCCCAAGTTTTGTCCCGACTCTTGCCATGTTGAATGTGTTTCTTGCAAACCCATTTGTGGCCCTCCTTCCCCCGGAGATGACGGTGGTGATGACGACGGAGGATACTCTCCACCGGCTCCAGTTCCACCTGTTTCACCACCACCTCCTACACCGTCCGTGCCAAGTCCCACTCCGCCAGTTTCACCACCGCCTCCCACTCCTACACCGTCCGTGCCAAGTCCCACTCCACCAGTTTCACCACCGCCTCCTACTCCTATACCATCCGTGCCAAGTCCCACTCCGCCAGTTTCACCATCGCCTCCCACTCCTACACCATCCGTGCCAAGTCCCACTCCACCAGTTTCACCACCGCCTCCCACTCCTACACCATCCGTGCCAAGTCCCACTCCACCAGTCTCACCACCACCTCCCACTCCTACACCGGCCGTGCCAAGTCCCACTCCACCATCATCATCACCACCACCACCTCCTACTCCTACACCATCCGTTCCAAGCCCTCCTGATGTTACTCCCACTCCTCCCACTCCATCCGTGCCAAGCCCTGATTCTCCCACCGCACCAGTCCCTCCATACTCCCCACCTGCGGTTCCTATTCCCTCCGTTCCAAGCCCCACTCCTACACCTCCTTTGACCCCAACTCCTCCAGGCTCTACTCCTTCTCCTTCCGTCCCTGTTCCGAACCCTCCAAACTCTCCTCCTTACGTTCCCCCATCTTCTCCTACCCCAACGCCCCCATCAGACGGCGAGGCAGGAGCAGGAGTCAGAAGAGCCAGGTGTAGGAAGGTGGACTCTCCATGTTACGGAGTTGAATACACTTGCCCCGCAGCTTGTCCTCGTTCTTGTGAAGTCGACTGCGTTACTTGCAAGCCTATTTGCAGTATGTCATCTCCATATATATATATATATATATATATAACTCCTCCACCTTAGTTCCTTATTATTGAAAAATTTAATCTATATATAGTTAAATCATGAAACGTGCTTGTGATGCAGATTGCGACAAGCCAGGATCTGTTTGCCAAGATCCGCGTTTCATCGGAGGAGACGGCCTCACCTTTTACTTCCACGGCAAGAAAGACTCCAACTTCTGCCTCATCTCCGATCCTAACCTTCACATCAACGCACATTTCATCGGTAAACGAAGGTCTGGTATGGCACGTGACTTCACTTGGGTCCAATCCATTGCCATCCTCTTCGGCACTCACCGTTTCTACGTCGGAGCCCTCAAGACCGCCACGTGGGACGATTCCGTCGACCGGATCTCCGCCTCCTTCGACGGAAACGTTATCTCACTTCCTCAGCTGGACGGTGCCACATGGACTTCATCCCCAGAAGTTTACCCTACCATCTCGGTCAAACGAGTCAACGCTGACACTAACAACCTCGAGGTACGACATAAAAACTCTAAGGAACAAAATAAAAATACATCTCCTTCTAATATTAAAATCTTATATTTTTATTAAATCATAAAATTTCCGTAGTTGGTTATATATTTAAGTGTATGTGTTAACTAATAATTGCTAATCTTGGTTGATCATTTTTTCAAATAACAACCGCTTTGAAACATTTGTAATTTTTTTGATATTTTTCTAAATTTAGTAGTAGTAATCAATTAATAACTTGATCTACGTATACATTTTATTAAGGTTGAAGTAGAGGGCTTGCTTAAGATCACAGCAAGAGTGGTGCCAATAACAATGGAAGAATCAAGAATCCATGGCTACGACGTGAAGGAAGACGACTGTCTAGCTCACCTCGACTTAGGCTTCAAGTTCCAAGACCTTAGCGACAATGTCGATGGTGTTTTAGGACAGACTTATAGGTCTAACTACGTTAGCCGAGTCAAGATCGGAGTCCACATGCCTGTGATGGGTGGTGACAGAGAATTTCAGACCACCGGACTTTTTACAGCTGACTGCTCAGCCGCAAGGTTCATTGGTAACGAAGGCAGCAACGGTGGCCGTAGCAAATTGGAGCTCCCTGAGATGAGCTGTGCCAGTGGCGTTGGTGGCAAGGGAGTTGTCTGCAAGAGATAGACACTTCTTCGTTCTCTGTCTAAATTTGTAACTACTACCACTAAACAATGGTAACTACAATACTATAACGTAATAAAATGAGTAACACGGTTGTTTTTTTTTCCTTATAAACAGTAAAATCATCGACAAAGTAACATGTAATGTTATAAATGTAATTTTCATTTTTGTCATGAATTTATTGAATTGTGAATTCATATATAATTTCTTCCTTTTTTACTTTAAATAACAACCAAAAAAAAAGGAGAAGCATGTAAAACATGATGACAACCAAAGGAAGATGTCAGCGGATATGTAGCGGAGACATATTTTATGCAGTGTAATTGATAATAGTTCAGAAAGCGAATTCGATGTACCGAAAATGCAAAACCTAATGCAGTATTTATAAAGCAATGGTTGAAAAGCCAATTAAGCTAAAAGTTAGCTTATCTTGAAATGCATTTTTTTCCATGCAATATGAAATGGCATTTTTTTCTCTTACAAAATATAGGCAATAGAAAATAACATAGTAAAACAAACCAGAAAGACAGTAAAAACCAAAATTTGTCAATTTTGGATCATTGAGTTGTTAAATCGTTTTAACTTAATATTAATCTTTTAGTAATTTTGGTTACACTCCAACAAAATGTGCTACCACGTAAAGGTAGCATGCAGATGGCTGATTCACTTCATAAAGAAGTGATTCTCCCATAAAGATGGAAGCATCCATATTAAATCACTTTCTCCCACAAATATGGGAACACACTGTCGGAGACATTATTTATAACAATTCCGAAATATATGGTTCACAAAGCCGAAGAAGACTTCTCTTGTCTTTTTAATAAAATAACCTCACTCTAAAGTCTTTATAGGGTCGACCAAAATTAAGGTTTTTAACAATTCCGAAACATGTTAGTGTGTATGTTAAGGTTTTTAAAATATCAAATTGTTTATAGGGTCGACCAAAATTAAGAAGACTTTTTCGTTAAGTTCCCTTTTTAGTGGTCTTAACAAAGGCATTGGACCTTCACCTTGAGATTTCGCATGGCGTAAGTTTCTTGGTGGATGAGGAGAAGCAAGTAGTCGTGTGTTTAGATAAGAAAATGGAACATGAGACCAACTTCAAAGACAAAAGGAGAATTTGGAGTATCTCTACATGCGAATCATATTGGCCTCCAGATGTTTCTTGGAATAACGCAACAAGAATCATCTACTAGACATAAGCCAAGTGTTTTTTCTTCCATCACTATGTCAAAAAGCCAAAGCCTATGGAATTATTGATACACCATGAATTGTTTTATGATTCCAAATAAAATAAAGTCAAAATACAAAAGACGTAAGCAACCAACGTATAATTTTGTGCAGAGTACTAACAAAGAGAGAATAAAACATACTGTAAAGGCCAGAAAGGCCACAGAATTCAAAACATCACAACACGAAACCATAACAAAATGAATGGACTCCATCATCTGATTGATTTAACATTCCCTGTCTTTTTATGTACACATCTTCCTTCTTATTCCATCATCGTTCTTTAATCGCTTTCATAGTCGTCTTCATCTCCGAACGAGAACACAGATGCATCAGCAGCCATAACCTTGAACTCACTACTCTCTGAGCTTGACACGTTGACCCCAGACCCAGTGGGTTTCTCTGTGGCTTCACCCTTGCTGACCGTTCCTTGTGATGATCCCTTGTTTCCAGAAATAGACACTTTCTCAGTCGCACGAGTCAGACCTGAGGTTTCATCTGTCCTCTGTTTCGATTCTGGGGTTTGAGATGAAGCCGACGATGTGGTTTTCGTCGGACCAGTTGACTCTGTTTCGTTATCAGAGAACACATCGTCTTTATCAGGGTTCTCTGATTCTTTATTGGGTCCTGTAACCGGTGTGACACCTTCTACAGGAGAAGAATTAGCTGCTGAAGTTTCTTCTGGGGTCTTGGATGCTGTTTCAGAACTAGGGTTTGCAGGGATTGTGGGATTAATATCAGCAAGAACAACTTCGACCATAAATCCAGGCGAAGGTAGCTTCCTCTGTATTGGAACAACGGCCAAAACACAAGGGTGTATCATTTCAAACCGGAAAGTTGATAGAGAAAGAGCCCAAACTCGACTTCACACGCAAAGTCAAGCATTCAGTAATTACCTTGTCAAACCCGTCAAGTTCACTGGTTTTAAGAATCACTCTGTTTTCCATCATTGTTGTGTTTAACCAGCTGCGAATAAGGATACAGAAAAGCTAACTCGTGAGAAAAGCAGAGAAAGCAAATCTATATTGGTAATGGATTTTGATAACGATATCTTAGCTTCCGAACCAGTAAAAATCTCCTTGGCGGTCGTGAAAATGGATTTTGAAGTCCCCAGCTAACTCTGTTAGACCGGGCTCTCCGGGTAGGGCAAAGACCATAACCCCTTTCTTTGGCGCACTGAACCAAAAGTCTTCAGGCTGCAAAAAGCATCAAAGTTTCAGTAAACCATACAATGCGAATTCACAAAGGCTTCAACGGAAAACTTGATAGCAAGAGATAGCGGCCTACCGATAGATCCTTGGTCCGAGGATGCTTTTTCGTGGTAAAGAGAACACCTGCATATAAGTTACAAGAAGATATTAGCTCATCGTGATACTAGCTTTATAAGTTGTCATGAAAGATTGATCGACCAACTCACCATTGTGATCTGAAATGGTGATGGATGGCCTGATCCAATAGGGACACCTATGGAGCCGAAATCCCCTAAGCATACACCTAAATAAAAAGAGTAGTACAATGTCAATACACAACTGTATGCAACATTAAGGTAAATCCGTATATGACTAAGCAGCTTACTTGCGGCCTGGTTGGTTTTCCCCATTAAAGTAGGTGAGTATGCGTTCAAAGTACTTCACATATCTCTACAAAACAATGATTAAACATACTCACGAGCTAGTAGAAGAGCAAAGAACGCTTTTATGAGCGGTTTAATTATAATAGTTACATAACTAGACTTACAATTTGGCTAGGTAACACAAGCCCTTTTCCATCCACACATCGTTTCTGATTGTAGAAGTCCATACACTCTTCGGCAGTCGGGAAAAACTATACAAGAAAAGAAAATATGATTAATTCCCCGTCTTTGACTATGTTTTATACAATGTTATGATAAATGCTTTACCTTCAGATACAGCAGAAGACTACATATCATAAGCCCTGTCCTCGCCATTCCCGCCTTACAGTGAACAACCACAACATTCTCTATGTCCTCCTTCAACCACGAATATGCACTTTGGCAAAATGAGGTGACCAAATGGATTGGCGGGCAATTATGATCATCAAATGGGAAACTGGCCACCTGGAGGCAAAAGTGTTGCAAAAAAAAGATGTTTAGCGACATTAAACTGACAAAGCAGAGCAAAAAATGAATTTAGCTATTAGCCTAAAAACATAAATCATGTGCTAGATAAAAAATGGATAAACAATTTGCAAGAGAAAACTGAGCTACTTTATTACAGCAGGGTTTTTTACACGATAACGTCCAGCACAGAAGTCTACGTAAGAAATGAGCAAACTATCACAATCTTGTACATCTGCCCAAGAATTATAGAACTGTTGCTAATTGTTTCATAAGTAGCTCGGAGTTAACTTCAAATAGTGCAGTGGGTGATTTATGGAGCAGATTTCCTTAATTTTCGACCAAGGCACTATTACCCGAGGAAGACAAAGAGAAGAGAACGAAAAAAGAATAGGGTATAACATACCTTCCCTTCAAATAGTGATACATCATACAACCTCTCGGAACAAAGATTGTAAACCTTGTATTTTCCCTACAAAAAGAAAGCAATTATAAGAGTAGCACAAGACAAGAGCAGAACCTAAATATAAAGCTGTAACTAGCGCATCATGTTAATTTCCAGAAGTTAACACCTTTAATAATGATTAGAGACCCATTATCTAGTTTTCATATATGAACCATCAAAATGCCGACTAAATGTTGCTAACAAATGAGTAGTACTACCTTGTGTTGAGTTTCAAGAAAGTTAATAACTTCTTCCATCTGGTTGCGGTAGAAGCCCTGCGCATTGATATTTTAAACGAACGTTAGCCAGATTAACTTCAAACGAATCAACTTAAAATTAAAATAGAGCAGATCCAGGGGAAACGATTACAAGCATCCTAATTGACTCACCTCAACATATCCAAAAAAGCCAGAGCTCATATCACCAGCAGGAAACCCCATTGCAATAATGTTCTCCGTTATGTACGTCAGATCCAAATCGAACCCTCCTTCCTGAACCACAAGTCGAGCAAAAGAAACATTTAATTTCAGAAGTGAAAGCAAGCTAGCATGGTAGCAAAACAGATGACACGAAGCTTATTAATTGCACCTGGTATCTTCTTTTGTTCTGGGATACAGCATGTCGAGCCTTGACCTGTACTGCCTTGACAGCATTCTTTGACGTATCCACCAAACCTTTCGTAAGAGTCCCAATGAAACCGGTTTGTGCAGCAGTTGAAGCACCTTCTGCGGTCTCATCTGGTTGAGGAGATCTCGGAGATAAACGAAGCCCAAGCCCACTTGTAAACTTCGCAAAGGCGGACTTTTCAGTATCTTCGACATCAGAGTTGGTTTGTGTGGAAGAAAATGGCTGGGGAACTTTCAGATTTTTGGCCCACGTTGATATCCCAGAGGCAGATAGCTTTGATGCTAAGCCTTTAGGTGAATCATCGCTTCCAGATTCAACAGCAGCAGGATGATGAACATCTGGTGTTCCCGCAGCAGCAGGAGGATGACCATCTGGTGTTTCCTTGGCAGGAAGATTTGGTGAATCAGACGACATGGTTTCTACCTCTCCTAGAGTCTCTTAAAAAAGTCTCTTTTTTCTGCGGACATCACATTCAACAATATACATTTAGTAAGATGATTGATTTCTAAATCTAATCTGCAACATCAAAACCAAGCTAAAATGTAGAGAAAATCTGGATTTGGCATAAATGTTTCAAATCTTTTGCCCTATATCATCATTTCCGTATTGATAAAAACACCATCGTCCCTTTCTGAATCAGAGAACAAACAACAAACAAATAAATAAATCCCAATAAACATGCAAATTCGAGGGGTTAATCAAAGTTATAAAACAACAATTGATAGGCGATCACCACATGAGCCTCAACAATAAGCAGAAAAGGTAAGCTAAACCTAGTAACCTATCGGACCCAGAGAACCAAAAAAATCAAATCTGGCAACCAGATCAGCAAAAAAAGGAATCACATAATCATATGACCAAATTCAAAACATCTAAAAGCATAGGAGCTGGAAAAAACCTCAGAGATCGAGAAGCATATCCAAAGAAAAAGCTCTGGCGATGAAAATCGAAACGAACAAGTAGGAAATTTGACGCGCGCGAGGTTAAAAGAGCTATAGGGTTGGAGGATTTCAGATATTCGAGAGAGATTGGGCAAACACACAGTATTGGAGATGAAGCAAGTCACGTGGGAGTTGCGGTCAACAATTAATCACTGCCGTTAGATCTACAGACCTTTTGATGGTTTTGGATCTCAATCAGAACGTTGCACGTGGATCCCCTTTTAAGTAAATTTCAGTTTTTTTACATGTTATCATCATGTCAAGTGTAAATTGTAAAAACACACCCTGAGGAAGAACCAAATAACAATGAAATTGGAGTTCAAGACAACCAATATCGAAAATTATATAGTGACAAGGTTTGTTAATGAAAACTTGACTATACGTTTCGATTAAAAACATTAATATGTTGATGAGTAACAGTTTTCTTCAAAGATTTCTCATCGTCTATAACCAATTATCTATAGTAAAAATGAAACAGAACACCTAACGTATCAAACCCAATATTATAGCCATGAGCGTTGTTTGGTTCAGATATCATTCGACTGAATTTGATGGACTTAAACGAATCAACAACATAAAAGAAGGAGATAAATCTCTTTATTATAGATGCTGAACAATGAAAGAAGATGAAAAAAGCCTTAAGAACCCTCAAAAACACTCGGCTTGTGGACATATCAAAACAAGGCCCAACAACAAATGACCTCAAAGGCAAATAAAAAGACCAATTTAAACAAACTTGCAGACAATAAACCAAATGATGCGTTCGACTTGATTGGGTATACGGGCCGTACTGCGACTGCACATTTCCCGGTTGAGTTAGAATAGTTACGTTGGAGCTTCATGTATCCGTTTTCTCCCCACTGTGATCCCCATGAATTACGAATAATCCAGTAGTCTTCACCACTCGATGTTGTTCCATATCCCACGACTACCACATTGTGGTCTCCATACGTATCACTACATGGTCCTTTAAACACACCCTGAGGAACAAAAAATCACAAAAAGAAAATTCAAACCACATAATCCACAGCTTTTTTGGTGACAGTGTCGATTTGAACTTACAGATCTGTAGCCTCTCATGTCACTGGCATAAATCATAACACTGATAGGTTGATGAGCAACAGCTTTCTTCAAAGACATCTCATCATATTGAGGAACACCTTCATGACCATCGATGGTAACAGAACGAGCGGTAACCATCTTGAGGATGAAAACATAACACATAAGTTTTAACCAAATTGAAACCATAATCACAAACTACTAATAATGGTTTGGTTTTATCAACAAACCTCAATGGCACTACACGCGGCAGTATCATTGGCAGTATAAGGGTAAACTTGGTCTGACATAATACCACCGTTTCTGATAATGAACTCAAAAGCGAACTCTGCTTGACCTCCAAGACATCCAAAGTTGTCGACCCCTCTGTCGCAGTCAATGAGTTCTTGTTCCGACAAAGATATCAGTTCTCCTGTCTTGATCTGGTTTATACCTTCCACCGCTCCAACCGCCGAGAACGCCCAACATCCTCCTATTTATCAACCGCAAACCGCAATGTAAACCGCGATCGCAATATCCAAAATCAAATCAACATGCTAAGAAAACTTGAAAATCATACCACAGTCTCCTTGTCTTTTGACTGGAACAACTGCTCCTTTCTCTCTCCAATCGACTTCATCAGGCAAAACATCTCCTTCCTTGTACAGATACCTCTCTGTTACCACTGATCCGCTTCCCATCTCCATCTTCTTCCCCCTCGAGTTAATAGCTCGAAACTCATCATCCGTCAGATCCGCAAACTGGTTCAACCCGAGTTGGTAACTCTGGTTCGGAACAGAGTTGTGATCTTCGATGAGCTTTAAGTTATCTTTGAAGATCTTGAACCGTTTCTCTTTCTCTCCAAGACCATTATAGTTCTTTCGATTCTCCACCAGCCATCGCTCGTACATCAGCCGCACCTCCGCTTCGTCCCGCTGCGGATCTGTTGCAGTGACGGGGCTGTGAGACAAGGAAACTAGTAGCACCAAAAGGGTCAAGAGAGCTAAGGTTATAAAACTCATAGCCATTGCTTTGTTTCTTTCTGTTGTTTTGTTTTACTTGAGATCTCTGCAACTGTTAAGTCAAAGTATTTTATAGAATGGGAAATTTTGGTCGTGGAGAGAAGTGGGAAAGCAAAACAAAAAACAAAGAGAGAAGTGAAGAGCGAGAGGGATAGTCGGGGAGACTGAAATTCACATGGCTCTAATGTGCCATCATTTTGTAACGTGCCATCATATCTTCTTACATTTATATTTTAAAAAGCTTCCACAAAGTTTCAAATGTTAAGTTACATGGGCTTCTAACTTAAAACCAATTAGCAGTAAATGGATTGGTCTATGCTTCTTATATATTAGTTATGATCCCTTCCAACTTCCGATGTGGGATATTATCTTTAATACCAAGTACATGTGATGCAAAATAAGAATAGGGAAAAGACGAGAGATAAACCTGTCACGCCAAAAAACTTTCATGAGGCAACAAATAGGGCAATCATCATGCTTTTTATGCCACTGCATTACGTGTGAAAACTATGCCCACATTGTATCTTCCTACACGTTGTTACATTGTCAAAGTTATCAAGGCACACTACTAAAAAACATGTTTATAGCATCAGTTATTTGGCATATATAGCTAGTAAAACTGATATAAAATAGAAAAGGAAAATAAATATTTGAGGTCACTTAACTAAAGCTACAGTTAACCTATCAAGGTAAGGTAAATCTATTCTGTATCTCTCTTCATTCATCTATTCAATCAATTGGATATAGCTACAGTTAACCTTCTCTATACAATGGATTATTTGTGATCTCAGTTTTTCTTTACTTATTTGCATATTTTTGTATGGATTTAAAATAGAGTTCTTAACTATTTTCAGGAAAAGTGACTGAGAAAATGACTCCAAGTCTAGAAAATACATGATGAATTTGGTGCAGTTGCTGACTCTACTGAAAATTGCAGATGGCACGAAGCAAATCAATGCTCGGAGAATTGACTCTTATAGTAGTTACTTCGTCTGAGGACAATAGATAGGTTTTGCATTTGGTTATATATTTGTAACAACGTACTTACATAATTTTTCTAATATAATTAAATGTTTTTATTTCTATTTAAGTTATCTAATTAATTGTGATCAGTATTTATTTACAATAGTTAAAATTCAATAAAATGTAAAATAATAAATTATATCGGATAATTTGAAAATTATCAAAATTATCGTTTAGCATCAAATGGAGAAGAACTTATGCAGAAGGAATAGTTTCGATTAGAGGTGCTCGGTTTTGGCCAGTTGGATCATCTCCTTTGGTGCATGAAGCTCCTGAGCCTGCACAACCTGGACGTAAGAAGGATAAGAAGAGGAAGAAAGGAAAAAATATCAAATGAGTTCCTTTTGCAAGAAGGTTGGCTAGGGATTTCTTGTAAAAACATTAGCTCCTCTTAGTTCATAATGACATCAAATTTTCAGCTTTGGCATTTGTTCATATAATCTCACTAAAGAAGGAGCCATTTTCATTATTACTGTACCTGCTGTTAAAATAAGGTCCTCCTGACTAGGACTTGATCTTGGTACTAGCCCATAAAGATCAAAATATTTTACAGCAAAACCAAATCAAAACTCGGACAACAAATCAAATGAAGAGACGGACTTGATCGGGTAAGAAGCCATCATTGCCACACCACATTTCCCGGTTGAATCATCTATGTTACGTTGGAGCCTAATGTATCCGCTTTCTCCCCAATTAGATCCCCAAGAATTACGAATGATCCAGTAATCTTCACCACTTGAAGAGCCATAACCCACGACTACCACACCGTGGTCCAAAGATATTCCACATGTTCCTGTTATCACTCCCTTGAGGAAGAAAATAAAGAAACATACATATTTGAGTTTAAAAAAAAAAACACATAACAATATCGAATTTAGGCGAATGGACAGGTTTTGTTGGAAAGTTACAGATTTGTAAAGCTGGAATTCTCGGCCACTAGCCTCAATGGCAACACTAACAGGTTGATGAGCGACAGCTTTCTTCAGTGACTTCTCATCGTCCCTAGGAACATCCTCATAGCCATCGATCGTAACAACACGAGTGTTGTTGTTGTTCTGCAAGATGAAAGAACACATAAGTTACCAATTTCAAAACCATAATCAAACTACAAAAAAAAAAAAAATTTGTCATTACAAAAACCTTAACGGCATTGCAGAAGATACCATCAGTGGCGGTATAAGGATAATCTTCATCTGTCTCAATACCACCGTTATTCATAATGAACTCAAAAGCATAGTTCATGATACCTCCATCACATCCAGCGTTGACGAAGCCTCTGTCGCAGTCAACGAGTTCTTGCTCCGACAAAGATACCAGTTCTCCAGTTGTGATCTGGTTTATACCTTCCACCGCTCCAACCGCCGAAAACGCCCAACAACTTCCTATTTATCAAGAAAAATCTCAACCGCAATCTCGATCCAAAACCAAATGCTAAGAAAATTGAAATCATAGATTCATACCACAGTTTCCTTGATCTTTGACTGGAACAACTGCTCCTTTCTCCCTCCAGTCGACTTCATCCGGCAAAGAATCTCCTTCCTTGTACAGATACCTCTCATCTTTCACTGAATCCATAGTCTTCTCCATCTTGATCTTCCTCAGGTAAATCGCTCGAAACTCATCGTTAGTCAGATCTGCGAACCGAGTCAACCCGAGTTCGTAAGTCCGGTTCGGGACGGAGTTGTGCTCTTCGACAAACTTTAAGTTGTCTTTGAAGATCTTGAACCGTCTCTCTTTCTCACCAAGACCATTATAGTTCTTCCGATTCTCCAGCAGCCATCGCTCGTACATCCGCCGAGCCTCCGCCTCATTCCGCTGCGACTTTGTTGCTGTGACGACGCCGAGAGATGAGGAAAGTAGTAACACCGAGAGGATCACGAGAGCTATGGTTATTATAAATCTTATTGGAGTAGACATTGGTTTTGCTTCTTTTTCCTTTTTTTTTGATCTGTTTGTTTCAGTGAGACTTTTTGCAAGAGTGATGGATGATGATGATTAGTTGTGTGTTTGGGATTGGCTGTGACGTGTCAATTTTTTAGTCATATTGTTGTATTTAAAAAATCACATCAGAAGATTCGTTTCAAAATGTCAAATGTGTAAATAATTCTGAAATTTTGTAATGTTTATAATTTCTTTAAATGTTAGATCAAATGTGGAAGAAACTTATTTGGATCGAGAACAGAGTACTGTTTATCGTATTTGATTAAACGGAATCGTTTTTGCTTAGTTATTTGATTAATCACCACCACTGGTTCTTTTTAGCTTTAACAAGGCTATGTTTTACAACTGTATAGAACTAATATTTATCTTACAAGATGTGTGTTTCTAATAATTGATTGATGTTCTGTTACCTTTCTTCTTGTGCAAGGATGTTATGTTATCTAAAAGCAAAAGTTCGTTGTGCCTTATGGAAGGGGGCTTTTGAACTTCAATTGGGTCAAATTTTATTATTCAAGGAAGATTACAATATTGCTATGGAGCAAATATCAGATTTCTTCTTGTTCATTTACAGAAAATCAAATAAAATCCAAGATAACGTTTTAAAACTAACGAGAGTAATCAAACCATGATCCAATCTTGAAGACAAAGAAGACGCATCTTGGCAACTTAGGATGAAAAGTTGAAAAACAAATCGGTTCTTTATTTAGTTTCGTCTCTCCTCAAGCGCTGCTTAGAAGCACGTTTGTAGCTTTTGTGGTCGCAATCGCTGGGCCTCGTGTCAAAGCTTTTACGCTTAACGGACTGTTTCCCTTCTGTTGCACACCAACATTTCATAAAACGAATCAGTCAAACAGTTAAAAAAGAGAGCCAAAACAAAAGCAAAGCATTTTCACTTGTCTCTCAAGGCATCAAGAAACTAACCATTCTACAAGAACCGGCCTCCAAATCGCAGACAGGGTATGACTGAGGGCAGCAGCTAGAGCTGTCGTCGCAGCAAGTGGCTGACTCGAACGGACAACATCCCCAGCTATAGCATTTGCCTTCGTACTCATAGAGACAACAACAAGTGGACTTGGCTTCGCAAGTGTAAGACTCGTCACAAACAACCGGTGCAGGCGGTGGCGGTTTTGGTGGGTTTGAGCTCGATGACTTTGTAGGGTACGAAGCCATCATTGCCACACCGCATTTCCCAGACGAAGCTTCGATGTTACGTTCGAGCTTGACGTATCCGCTCTCTCCCCAGTTCGATCCCCACGAGTTACGAATGATCCAGTAGTCTTGACCACCTGATGATCCGTATCCCACGGCTACCACACCATGGTCCAAAGCTGTTCCACATGTTCCTGTAAACACACCCTGAAGAAAACAACAAACATAAGTTTTTTTTTAAATGAATTGGATTTGACAATCTTAAAATGAAGACGATCAAGTTTTTTAAAAGTATATTACGGATTTGTAAAGCTGGAATTCTCGGCCACCAGCTTCAATGGCGACGCTAATGGGTTGATTAGCAAGAGCTTTCTTCAATGAGTTCTCGTCGTTTTGAGGAACATCCTCATAACCATCGATGGTAACAACACGAGTGTTCTCCTACAAGACAACAAGACAAAACATTTTGAGTATACCAATGTTTAATATCATCAATCAAAATCTTAGACATATTGTTGTGGTTTTTTTTTGTACCTTGTCGGAATTGCACAAGTTAACATCAGTTCCGGTGTAAGGATAATCTTCCTCTGTGTTAATACCGCCGTTTTTAACGATGTACTGAAAAGCATAGTCCATGAGACCACCACTGCATCCACCATTGTAGCTCGTGTCACAGTCAACGAGTTGTTGCTCCGACAGAGATACCAATTCCCCTGTCTTGATCTGGTTTATCCCTTCCACCGCTCCAATCGCCGAAAACGCCCAACAACTTCCTATTGTATTCTCAAATAAAAATCTCTCATCAGCACGTCACTTCACTATTAACATGAGACAATAAACGCTAGAAACAGCGATTCATTCGCAATCTCAATTTCTAAAGACAAAACAAAAACAGAGATATGTAAGAAAGTCAATCATACCACAGCCTCCTTGGTTTTTGACTGGAACAACGGCGCCTTTCTCTCTCCAATCGACTTCATCAGGCAAACTATCTCCGACCTTATACAAATACCTCTCGGCCTTCACCGAATCTCTAGTCCTCTCCATCTTCCTCCTCAAGTAAATCGCTCGAAACTCCTCGTTCGTCAGATCGGCGAACCGGGTCAACCCGAGTTCGAAACTCTGATTAGGGGACGAGTTGTGCTCTTGCACGAACCTCACGTTGTCCTTGAAGATCTGGTACCGTATCTCCCTCTCGTCTAGACCGTTATAGCTCTTCCCATTCTCCACAAGCCACAGCTCGTACATCCGCCGCATTTCCGCCTCGTTCGGCATCGACACCTTCGCCGTGACGCCGCCGAGAGACAAGCAGAGTAGTAACACCGAGGAGATCACGAGAGCTAGGGATATAAATCTGATTGGAGTAGTCATCGCTTCTTTTCTTTTTTGGGGGTTATGTTTCAATGAGATTTCTGCAACTGTTGCGGTTGAAGTATATATATAGAGGAGGAAACTTTTGTCGTCGAGAGAGAGAGAAGTGGAGAGCGAGAGGGATTAGATGTATTCATCGTATTGGCTCTGATGTGTCATTAATTTTTTTTAATTATATTCTGGAAACTAGAAGAAAAATAAAGTCACATCACATGGGCTGATGTTTGCATTTAAGAAAATTCATTTTATAGAAAAACAATTATGGTTAAATAATTCGTTTCATACTAGTATTTATTTGATTCAACTGTGTTAGCTTTTTTCTTAGCTGGTTTGTATATAAACCACTTATTTGTTTAAACTTTAGCTATATTGTTAAAACTCTGAATTATCCAAATAAGATTGAGATGAACTTCTTCTGATAGTTTCTTTGTTTGATTTTTATTATCATATAAACTTTAATATAATATATATCTACATCAAGTTAGATATATAGATTGAAATGGATATTGATTTATTTATTTTTGTGAAGCTAAAATGGATACTGATAAAGTCGTTTTTTGCCCCTTTTTACGGCTATTGCAATTTTTATATATCTAGTATTTACAGCATGTTTCTTAGTTTGGAAAACCTAATTCTAACCTTTCAGAGAGTAGTTTCTTAAAGACTCTTCTAACCTTTCCCGGTAGGTACTAGGAAGTAGGAACCCATATGTTACACGCACTTTGGAAATTATTAAAGAACACATTTCGTAGTATGTAGTAGTAGTACCAATATAAAATATATAAAAATATAATATATGATGTCGTGGTTATACACGGTATTGTTATTATATGTTACAGAACCAATGAAATATTCCATATTTTGTTATTTGCATCGTAAAAAGTCTTATATGATGACAATTACAAAAGTAAAAGGAGGAACTCTTCATCTCTAAGTCTTTTAGATCTCCATTTCTAAACACAATATAAAGTCTTGTTTAACCAAATAAAGCACACTTATCTTCAAAATGTTACTTATATGCGTCTCTTATATTCCTACTACTGCCCTTCTTAGGTAAATTAATGGAGACTGAGATTAGTTTGGCTAATATCTTTCTTTTTATATCTCAGCGGCCAGTTGCTTTTTACCGTGTCCATATTTGGCTAATATGTGTTAAGTTAATATATATATTATGGTGGTTAGATTTTAGTAAAAGGAAAATATAATAAGAATACAAGGGGTTCGATTTTCATTAACTTATTGTTGAATATGAATTCTCTTAGTTTTGTGTTTGTGAGTCTGTGACTAGTCGCTAAACTCATTGCCTTTTTTCGATTGAATCTTGAGTCGTTTCATTCTTATTAAAAGCAAACCAATTAAAATAGAGTTAATTTGCAATCTAACCATATTAGTAAAAAAATTCAAGAATATAGTTATGCTATTCAAAAAATATGAAAAATAATTATAGCCCACAGAGAAAAGACTAAAAAATCCTTCATTTGAAATATATAGTATAGTAGTGTACTACAAATATTACTTAATAACATACTATACCAACTGAGTATAGTATAATAGTGTACTCCATTTGAAATACTATGACCAGTTTACTTTTCGGGTATCTATAGATGTGGAATTTGCGTTGAAAGATATCTTATATGAAGGTGAATTCAGGAGAGGATGATATTGGTAAGGATGAGGAGCTAGTAGATACTCATACAATATGGAGTCAGTTCTTATAATGATAGTATAGTACTGTATAAAATAATATATTTGTACAACTATTAATAGCATACTACACCAACTCAGTATAGTAAAGTAATGCAATCTATTTGTTGATTTAAACGAAGGGGTTTTTGGTATATATTGTAAAATATATGAAGAATATAATAACACCTATTTTGATATGGTTACTTTCTAAATTTTAGGTATTTATATGGTTATATCAGCCAATTTCCCATTGAAATATGGTTCCATGTTTGTTGATTCTAGTTGAATGCAGTAGCGTCTAATTGTATTTTGTTCAAAGAGATCCACGCTCTATATAACTTGATAAATTATAACTGGAAAGTCTAAACTAACTATATAGAGTCCAAGTCTTTAATAAACATGTTTAATTGTGAAGAGGTGGGTTCATCGGTAATAAACCAGAAAAGATGATAAACCAAAATGAATCTTATTTCCTGATACTCCTCAAATGTACGTACAAATACCGACTTATATCCTCTCTCTTATACTCTGTACACGTCATCAATACAAACGTATTTCTAATACTAATACACCCCCCTCAAGCCACTGAAACTGGACCATCAGAAGTGAAGAGGCTTGACACAAACATCCGACCAAGAAGGTTATGAAAAGGACCCGGATGCAGGGGCTTAGTCAAGATATCAGCATGTTGATTTGCACTAGAAACATGAAACAGTTTGATCGTACCATTCTTGACTTGATCACGAACAGTGTGGCAGTCAATCTCAATGTGCTTAGTACGCTCATGAAAGACGGGGTTCGTGGCAATATGGATCGCAGACTTGTTGTCGCAGAACAACTTTGCAGGCGAACGAACCTGTATCTTCAAATCCTTCAGCAATTGATTCAACCAAAGCAGCTCACAAGTCGCTAAAGCCATACTCCTATACTCGGCTTCAGTACTGCTGCGACTAACAGTCGGTTGCTTCTTAGATTTCCAGGAGATTAGTTGAGTACCAAGATAAACGCAAAACCCTGTTACCGAGCGGCGAGAGTCAGGGCAAGAAGCCCAATCAGCATCAGCAAAAGCGTTAAGGCAAACCTCAGAGTTAGCATCATAGAATAAACCTTGTCTCGGATTGGATTTGATATAACGAAGTACACGGTGAGCAGCGTGCAGATGAACATCTGTTGGAGCGGAGAGAAACTGACTCAGTCGATGCACAGCGTAAGTGATATCAGGACGTGTGATAGTGAGATAGAGAAGACGACCAATGAGAGCTCTATAGAATATAGCATTCGACAGTGGAGTCCCAGTCTCCTTACTCAAAGGGATAGTCGGATCCATCGGAACAGAGGAGGGTTTATAAGCCAACAAGCCAGTGTCAGCGAGAAGATCCAAAGCATACTTGCGTTGATTCACGTGGATCCCAGTAGAATTACGCACAATCTCCAATCCCAAGAAAAAACATGCTGGTCCTAGATCCTTGATCTGAAACGCTTGATGAAGAACATTCTTAAGAGCTTGAACCGCAGTATCACTATTGCTAGCAATAAGAATATCATCAACGTATACCAGAAGCGCAATGAAAGTATCACCCACTGCCTTCACAAACAAAGTATTGTCCGCAGGGGATTGCAAGAAACCTTCCTTTAAGAGAACAGAAGAAAAACAGTGGTACCATTGCCGAGAAGCCTGTTCGAGCCCATAGATAGACTTGTGAAGCCGACAAACAGGATTCGGCGGTAACACTTCTCCTGGACCAGGGGTATATCCTAAAGGAAGGCTCATGAATATTTCTTCATCAAGATTACTGTTAAAAAACGCATTCGAGACGTCCATTTGAGTCAAAGTCCAGTTATGACCAGACGCCAGACCAAGAATCAGCTTAACACTAGTTAACTTCGCCACCGGTGAGAAAGTATCTTCAAAATCAACTCCTTCTTGCTGTGTAAAACCCTGAGCAACAAGCCGAGCCTTGTAGCGCTCTATATAACCATCAGGGTTATACTTAATTGTGTAAATCCACTTACAGCCTACAATGTTCTTTCCCGGTGGTAAAGACTCAATACTCCATGTCCGTTTTCGTTACATAGCAAGAAGTTCCTCATCCATGGCACCATTCCAAACTTCTGATTCCACAACTTGCTTAAAGGTGGAGGGTACTGTCTCAGTGGAGCAGGAAAGAACAAAAGACTGGTAGGAAGGGTGAAGATTCAAATATGAAAGAACAGAAGAAATGGGGTAAATGGTAGAACTAGAAGGCAGAGAAGAATGTTGTAAAAGAGAACAGTGATAATCAGATAAGTAACCTGGTGCATGTGTCCGTCGTTGTGGCCTTGTTGTATTCAGCAAAGCAACACCTGCTCCAGACGAAACTATCTCTCGATTTGTGGCACTAGGTATAGATGATGGTAAGTGAGATGATGAAGATGATGCATGGACGGGGGACGAGGATGGCAAGTGAGATGATGAAGATGATGCATGTTCATGCGTAAAAGGAGAATGAACAGTTGGTAATGCAGATGGTAGAGATGTGATAGCAAGAGGTGTGGGGAGGGGCAAAATAAAATCAGTGAATGTCGAGCCATGTTAATTAAAATGTGGATCATCCTTGAAAGGAAAAACAGACTCATGAAAAACCACATTTCGAGATATAAGCACTTCACGAGTATCCATATTAAGAACTTTATAACCTTTGTAACGAGATGGATAACCGAGAAAAACACATGACTGAGCTCTAGGAGTAAACTTGTGTCTATCTTTCGATAATGTTGAAACATAGCAAAGGCAACCAAAACTACGCAAGAAAGAATAGTCTGGCAATTTATGCATAAGAAGCTCATAAGGAGACTGCTTGCCTAAGAGAAGAGAAGGAGTCCTATTAATGACAAAAACAGCAGTCAAGACAAAATCACTCCAATACTCAAGCGGCACATTGGATTAAAACATGAAAGCACGAGCCACATTAAGTAAATGCTGATGTTTGCGTTCTACAACTGAGTTCTGTTGAGGGGTATATGAACATGAAAACTGATGAATCAAACCATGATCTTTACAAAGTTGGGTAAAAGCAAGTTCAGGAGCATTATCACTGCGGATAGATTTAACAACTGAATTATATTGAGTATGAACTAGCTTAAGAAACTCTGGAAAGATTTTGCAAACATCACTTTTATTACGTAGCATATAAACCCAAGTAACTCTAGTACAATCATCGACTATAGTCAGAAAGTACTTGAAACCATCAACAGACGTAACTCTAAAAGGACCCCAAACATCAAGGTGAACTAGTGCAAAAGGAAACTCTGATAACCTATTGTGAGAAATAAACGGAAGATGCTTCTGTTTAGCTAAAGGACAAACCTGACAAGAACTCGCGAGACTCGACTTGGACAAATGTAAAACTTTAGACATGTATTGTAACTTGGCAGCAGATGGGTGATCGAGGCGTTGATGCCAAAGCTGAC